ACGAAGAGGCTGACGACGTGGAGGATCTGGCCCACGCCGAAATGAATTCCGAAGCAAAAAGCGGAATGTTCCGAATTGAATTGTGCGCAGTTTCGTGTACAAAATGGCTGTTCGAAAGATGAACTGAATGGATTACTTCGAGCGACGGACTGCAAGCAAAGCAGTGATTTGCTCCCATTTACAGTTTAACGACGCTATCAGTGACTTGTTCCGCGAAGTGTCGAGTGATGAGATAACGGACGATAAACAAAATTATAGGAAAGGAAGGAAGGAAGCGATGTGTTCTTTTATTTGTGTGGACGGACTGAGGAAAACCACAAAAATTTCAGTCGGGATATCCGATCTTCGTGTAGAGATATAAACCCAGGACCTGCCGAATAGGAATCGAGAGTGCTAACCACTGTCGCCATTTCGAATGCAGAGAAGCACAGAAGGTGGATTCAGGCCCACAGAGCGGGAGTTCCCCGTCCGCTGTGCAGCAGTTTTGTACCCCCCACCCCACCCCCACCCCACTTGAACACTCGCTTGGGGCGTAAACTGAGTGAAATATATCCCGTGGTGCCTTGCGGGAGATGAATGTCGCAATGCGAGCGTGCGTACGCCTTCGTTAGCATCAGAGTGCAAAATCCCATAATTGTAAATAGACTACCAGCACAGCAGACCGCCTCCTGTCACCAGAGCAGGAGGAACAGAAACTTCGTCGTGACGCAGCGCGTCAGCGATCGCCCTGCGTTTGCCTTCCTGGAAATCGGTTTCGGGAGAGAAATAGCCGATCGCGAACTTTGCTTTGCGTACTCCGCTGAAGTTACTTAGTCATTTGTTGTGCTCCACACTCAAAGAAACGCCTGTTACAAAAATTTAATCTCGACTCGACTGTTTGTTCATTGCAAATTCAATCCGTCGCCTGGAAACGGGCCCTCCCCTCCCCTTCCCTTCATAATCTCCCGTCACGACGACTTTTCACCGACGCAAAGGAAACTTCGAGTTATCTTCCTTCTCAGTTTCCCCGCTCCCATACAAAGCGTCTTTCGCAGCAATTTTCCGAGATTTTCTTCGGAACACCAACTCCAACTGCACGTGACTGCAAGCAGTTCACCGTTCCACGAGACGGAGATGGGCGAGGCATATAGCACGAGTGGGGAAACAAGAAACGTTTATACAATTTTCGTTGATAAACGAGAAGGGATCTCAAAGGAAGGGGATATGGCGTCAGATGGAACTGGTTCAGAAAAGCCCGCGACTGCAGTGGACACGGCGATGAAATTTCTCGTGTTCCATAAGAGACGGGAATTTCAAGGCCCCGCTGTTGAGCGACTGTTTGCTTTTCAGGGACGCATTCCTTCATTCATTTAGCATGAAAATGCTACACAGGGTTCGTATACGTTCTACGCGAGTGGTGATGTTTTCTTTGCGGTACGGACTGAATTATTGAATATTCAGACGAGCCTCGGCTTCAAAATGCTGAAGAAATCATGACAGATGAGATCAGCTGTCACGTGATGCCTCTGGGATAAAAAAGGAAGTGCCTGTGGGTACAATTTTAATCAGAAAATACGAAGCGAATAAGGCCGCTTATTATACTAGGCGTAGACAGGCAGAAAACAGTATTAAAGTTTTATTTAAATAAACGAACTGACTTCGGAGGGTCCGTTTGCATTTGTGGGTGGAAACAGCGATTTGATTAAGGAAGAGGCGATTACTGGGGCGACTGTCAACTGCTTCGTATCAGTGGATTCGGCTTCAGCGATTTGATAGGAGGGGCCGAAAGTTGGCACTCTCAAGCCACGCTTAAGAAAAATGAAAAGCACCAACTTCCATACAGGCACCACCGAAAACGATGGTCAATTTGAAAGAGAAACCACCGGTATGGGGTATATGTCGAATCAAGTGGGCCGAGGCGGGCCCGTCTTAAAAACCCCTGCCACCTGCAGCCCGCCGAGTCGCCTACTCACGAAAATCCCGCTGGATCGAAGGGAAATCCTCAAGGAACTCTTTTTTGCGCTGCTGGGATTGTGTTCCCCTGTGCACAGTTATCGGAATGCAGACTGGCAAATTTCCAGATGTGTCGAATCGACCGTGGAATCAATCGATTTACTCCACGTAATGCTTTCCAGGGGTGAACGAAATGGTTTACGATAACTGGTCCATTCAGGCGTCTCTCCGTCTCAGCAAACGTCTTGCTTCTTGCTCGAGAGGCGTTTGTCCAATGAGAAACTTTAGAGCAACGCTGTAAGTCCCAAAACCCTAATCTTCGGCATTTTCCGCACGTTCGAGTGAAATCTACACCAGTGTAAATAAATCCATTCGGAGCTGGTTGCCTTTCAGCTTCGTGCTTATACTAAGTGCAGACATGACCCGAAACTTTCACGGCGACTGAGTATGAGTTCTTCTCGGGTCACTTCCTGTCATTATTCGTAGGCGTGACGAGCGATCGCCTTGGAAACACGACGAGGGGTTAAGCCCCACAGAAACGGCATACCGAGGCTGCCTGTGACAGCTGTGTCGGCAATACAGCAGGCTGCCGTACTTACTATTAATTACTGCCATTCGCAGAACTTTCAGAAGTTTCGCGAGCAAAACCTCCGGTTACAACGCCTTTAATTATCGACTCCACGGGACGTCGGATGACTCAATGTGTCCACGGGACGGCAAATACGGTTCAGACCCTCGGAAAATGGACGACCCTTCTCTGCGCACTGATAGATCAACCCTGGGACCTCCACGATCACTTTCCCTGCGTTTAAGGTGGCCGGAGCGTGAAGCTGTCGTTACGTCATGCCCTGTGTGCACTTTGTGGTTATATGACGATCACGCACGGTGGCTCAACAACGTGTAACTTCACGGTAATGGATATTCATGAGTTGATTTCGTATAACGGCAGTTCATTCTTTGCTCTGGTCCACAGAACGTCTCCATCCTCGTGGTGCTACTGTACAGCTGGCGAGTCGGCCTCAACGTCAAGAAGTACGCGGACCTGCAGGACGTCTATTACGGTAGGTAAAACAGCTGATTTTGAAATTTCCTGACTGTGAGAGTTAAGTTTAATGTTATCCTCCCTTCTACGTCTGGCGCTGCCAAGTGCCCCCCATTCTCCTGCGTTCCACACAAGCTCGCCTCCGGACGACACAAGAAACGTCGTCCTTCAATGTCCAATATACGACGACACAAGAAGAGAGGAGAGCAATGTGTGCCAAAGCCATTTCCCCGCATTCCTTCGGAGGGGACACAATTCACGAGCGGGCGCCGTTCTGACCACAACGGCTTGAGAAGCGTCGCATTGTTTTATTCAGAAATAAATGCGTTTGAACGTGCAGACGCAGAGAAGTCTCATCGTCGCCTTCCTCTCTTTTCAGGGGTGCAGATCTCCTACCTGGCCATCATCGGGGCCCAGCTGTTCATGATCGCTCTCAGCATCACCCTGCTCTTCGGAATCTTCAAGGTAAGGCCACACACGGCAGAAGTACATCAGATTAAGAAGGCTTTTACCTGATGACCATAAGTTTCTATTTAACAGGCGTGAAAGAAAGCTAGAAGCCAAACAACATATCAAGCCTGGCGTAGGGACGCTTATAATTCTGTCACTTTCCCAGTGTGTATATAATTTTCAGACGTTTTAGAGGTGCTTACTTCCTCCATCATTCATTCACTGCCAATCTAGCTTATTTACGGGCACCGTGCTAGCCGAGGTTCAACCCGGGCCCGCAGAATGTGAGTGGGGTTCAACTTCCGATTTGTTTATTGAAACCGCGGTCTTTCGTGTGTTTCAGGAGAACTCGGGTCTTGTGGCCCCTTGGATTATCGGCTTCATAACATTCATGGCTCTGGAGGCAGTTGCCATGGTGTATTCCAACGTTCTGAGGGATCACGTGAACAGGGTACGTGCAATGTCGCCCTCTGCATCTTTTAGACACGTCACAGCTCCTCTTCTCTGGAGCCACTCGACCACGAGCTTCGTCTCCTCGACCATCCAAGTTCCCGATTAACGCCGCTTCTCGTCTACCGGGTTGTGACGCCATGTTGCTCCATACGTGGTGACCGACGTTTCGAAAGGAAAACGCATTCGATGTTTTCCCTTGTAGTACTGCGACGACATGCCGTCATTTCTTGTGATCACAGACTATCAAATATTAATTTTCCCGCTTCACGCAATTTTTCTAAAGTAATAAAGAAATGAATGAGGCAACCAAAACGGCGTGCGTGCGTGTGCAGATTTGGTCAGGATACTTGACCTGGGAGACAAGAGCGTGACGGAAGGAAAAATTTAAACCGCGCCTCAAAGAAACGGAATAAGATGATGCGGAGTGGATTAATCTGGCGCAGGAACAGGGTCCTGTGGAAAGCTTTTGTGCACTCGTTAATGAACATTCGGGATGCGTTTTCCGAAGACAGGGAGATTTAGCCCTCTTTTGCACTCCCCATAATGAAGCGAAGACAGTGGCGGGTCTCGGCCTTGCTGCACCCAACGAATGATTTTCATTGGCTGTCTACGTCTTCAGCACTCTGGCTAACAAGGCTGGAAGAGCTTCTGGATTTACGGCGCTTGAACGCAACAGATTGGTCCCAGGTCTCGACTTTGAAGAGCCTCTTCCTCCTTCGGGCTTTGCGACCAAAATTTCGAATGCATTTCTCGTGTCCAACCATCGCATCGGCCCCCGATGTGATCGTCCATTGCCTGTTGTTACAAAACACGACGTCCAGTGTCTGGAATCAGCTCATTCTGAAGACTCGCATTCAGCGGGTGCTCCCTTCACTTCGCCTGAAGACGAGGGCGCATCCAGTCCTCGAAAAGTTGTGCGTTTCACAGCATCAGACGATGGGCAAGATCAAAAAGGCCCTGTCCCGAGTTAATTCGATCTAGAGTACACAGTCACGCCTCATCCATTTCATTATTACGCCGCCGTCTGCGAACCATTTCACCAGCACTTTGTTACGCACTGTGAAATCCATCGTTCGATTTGCCCTACATTTGTTGGACGCCGAATTCCTCGTTTCTTGAAGCCCACGGCGACCACTACATTGAAACGCAGACGTCATTAGCGTGAAAGCAGTACAAACCAGCTCAAAGTATGTCTAGGAAGACAGAATGCAATAATGCGAGTGTTGAATTATTTAATTAGCCACTTCTTTGTGATAATAAGTTTCAGTAATATCACCCATACACGAAATTAAGCCCCATTTTCCGTCTAACCAAATTCCAAGAGGGTCTGTACCCGTGTCGTGTCTATAAATGTACTAATTACACTGTTCTCTGTCTTTTCAGCAATTCGACGCACTTTGCAAAGCGGAAGTTGCGTTTTACATATCGAGAGTTATTCTGAACGTAAGTAAACACGTGTTCACTGCTCACGCACGCGCAGGAATATCAAAGTTTTTTTTAAAAAATAGCAATCCATTCAGTTGCAGAAAGTATTCTAAAAGAGGTCATCCATTGGAATGTCGGAAAATGTTCGTGCATCGAAATTTATTCCTGGAATGAGTCTTTGGTGCTGAATTTTAATGTCTGGCTTGGACACGTGATCTCGACAACTGTTCTTTCAAAATGGCCGCGAAGCTCTCAAATTGCAGCATCCCCGAAGACAGCCATCTTTACCGCCCCTCACGATGAGCAGATGTGCTCAAAACACGTAGGGGAAATATAAGAACACGAAATTTAATGCACTAACGTCAGTACAATTAATACCCTAAACGTCCCTTCCCTAGAATGCAGATGTGGTCATTCAGCAAATTCACTGGAGTATCTAGCGACTGTTCAGTCTGAATGTTATCCGCTATTAAATATTTCGCTGTTTTGTCCTTTCAAAAATTTCATTAAGAACAATGCATTTTAATTCCAGCAACAATTTTGCAGGTGGGGGCCATATACGGAGTTATGCAGTTCTACAACATCCTGAGGGCCGGAATTTCATGGAAAGGACCCGAAATCATCGAACTCTGATACCAGAAGGCGGAAAATAGTGACTTTGATGACGACGATGATGCTGGTGGTGGTGGCGAAGAGCCCTGGCCATTCCTCGTGACGCAGATCAGTGCATCACCAAATATACAAGTTCTTCCGAATAGTGCCAAAGCAGCGAAGACAAAGATTTTGGCTTAAGTGCTTTTAAGATTCGCTGTTGTTTGGTGCTTTCTTTTGGAAACACTTATTATACTTCCAACAAGTTCAAAATGGGGCAAACCTTGCGTAAAGTTAAAGTAAGAGGTGCCGACTGGCCTGGAAATGTCACAAACACGCGAGAAACAGTTTTACGTCATAATATCTGAATCGAAGTAACAAAACAATATTGGCCTTCCTGATTCATGCCAGTGTACGCCTGTCATATGAAATTAAGTGTGAATTATGATTCAACCCTGAATTAGGTAATAACCGATGTAAAAATATTTATAGGTAACAAATAATCAATAAGGCTACTGTAAATTCGCTCCACGGAGCGAAGTCCTTCTTGAGAAACTGACAGTAACTCAAGTTTTTTTCTAACGACTCGAAGCAAAACATATTTTAACTGTGAACACCAGATGCAATGTTCCGAATTTTCCTTTTTCATTTCTTCGCGGACCATAATTAACAACTGATTTCGTTATGTATTCATTCACGTAGCTTTTTATGATTTATTTAAGGACGCTGTCGGCAGTTTAGACCACATAATTCAAATGATAAGGTGATTAACGAATAATGAATTGAAAAATATGCCAACGGAACTAATGTCCTGGCAATTTCCGCGACAAATCGAGGAAAACCTCGAAAATCTGACACGATATCCGGTCACCGGGCCGTGATCTGAATATGAAGCTGGAATGCTAATTACTCGCCCATGTTCGGATTTGTCCTGGTTTGAAACTGCGTACAAAAGGAGAATTCATGAGAAGACAAACACTTCCACACTTGTCCCGTAATAATGATCCAGCGAAGTGTATTTTGCGCCATTAATCATCTTAAAGTGCACAAAGCCTCGCAAATGAATTGCGAACATTTAGATGATATCAGCATGAAGAAAGATTCCAATTAACAGATTTTTCACTGTGTAATGTAACTACTTATTAAAACTCTCTCTTCCAACAGAAGTCACATGCATAAATTTCTCGTGAATCAGAACTACTGAACTTGCACATTCTTCAAAATCTGTTTTCCTCTCGCAGGTCCTTTTCTGGCATTCCTAATTACTGTCGCTATGTTCTCCGTATTTCAATATCTGAGAGAGACACAGACTGTGGAAATATTGGGCTGGAATAAAATATGTTTGACATTGAACCTACGTAATGATTCAAATTGTTCAAAAGTCAGCACATGAAGTATTCAATTCAGAACAATACTTAAAAAAAAGAAGATTAAATCTCAACTAATCCTTGACCATTAACTGGCGACGAGCAATTTGTAAGACCACAGCACACACAATATCTTTTCTTCACAGAACGTGGCTTGCGATGTTCTGCTGTTATTGGTATCAGCAAAGTAAAAATCAAAGCTGTCCAACTACGCACAATTAGCAGAGTGGCAAAACACAAAATTGATACAGTTGTCCGCGTCGACAATTATAACTCGATGACACTAAAAATACCACAATTGTGAGCCACCTAGTACAAGTAATGAAAACATGGAACGCATAACTCAAATTTGTCATTGGGTTGTGCGCCAGTCCATTTACATAACGAGTATTATAATTATTCTCAGTTTTTATTAAAATCCACTGCATGTTTTGGCCACTTAAAAAACCACCTGAAGATGACCCTATTAAGGTTGAAACAGGATGAACGTACAAAGTTTGGCACACTGTGACTGACAAACACATACAGGAATACTTGAAAACAAACCCTCCTAACTAAATGTCCATCACACCAGTAAAGGGCTAACTGGACAGAAAGGTTAAGTTCACACAAACTATCCAGAATCCTATATTGGGGGATCTACAGTAAACGACGAAAGCTTAGCTTTCATAGTAATTCAAAAAATATAAAATGGAGAGGATTTCCAAATTGAGCTTTACCTAAACCCCGCATCAATTACAGTTTTCTGGCACAGTTCTATGCGATTATCATAACCGGCCTGAAATGATAAGACTGCCGATGCTATGGCCTACCTGATTTTCTGCGAGTGCTCAGCCCATCGGTCCTCAACCACAAACAATTCGGCCGAAAGTGTTGGTTCCTTGTCCGAAGACTGCCTTAGATGGACACTGCTGTTTCGATTGGAAAGTCGCGGCACTGGACACACCACAATATTACAAACACGTTGACAGTCGCTGCAGTTGGCATACACGTAAACAAACCACAGCACATCACCTTGCCAGCCAATGAATTCACTCCCGTAATTACATACTGACAACCTGCGATTATTCGACTCCAGAATTCTTTCATGTTTCACCGCTTATGATATAAGTACTTGGCTACATTTCTTAATTAACAGCAAAGTCCTACAAATTAGAGGCTGCGTTTAAAATTTCCAGGTTCGAGGTTATGCACAAATGTTACGTGATGTAGCACGCACGTTCAGTACTCTCTGTTGATGGAGACAGCAAGGACCTCTATCTGAAACGTCGGGAAACTTCTACCAGACTACACGCAACAACCCACAGGGCAGCCACCTTCTGTAAGCGGATAATTTTCACATTTACCAAATAAACCAGTCCCAGTTTATATTATTACAGGATAATTCAAGTCGATATTATAATTTTAAATTATGAAGCTGCTACAAAAATACAGTGAATACTTTGTTCTTACAAAGAACAGAATTACTAAAGTACCAGGAACTACTTTCTGTTCAACTAACAAACCAAAGTGAACTAGCTTCTGGAATGTTCTCACTATACCTATTTTTTCTGAATTTATACGAAATCTAAGTACTTGCAAGTCGTCCACTTAATGTAACTTACAACACTGAATTATGTTTTACCAACAGCCATGTAAAGCACGCAAGCTAACACCACTTACCCTTGTGACTCTTTATAACATAAAATTGTGAGGAAATTCCTGAAAAGAGGGAGAAAATGAACAAAACCACACAGACTACTGCAAAATGCAAGAGCAGCAACACTTTAATGTCTTCAAGCCACTATTAATTTAAATTTGAAGTTTGCATTGCGACTAATGCGCCCTGGTACGTTAGGAACAGATTCATGAGGATTTGGTAATTTCATTATTTGCCGACCGCATCAGAGCATCGAGAACTTCGACTCAAAGGTAGCTGCTGCGGGGGAACCCCTTAGTTCTGCAAGGCACTTGTGCCAACCATGAATGAGGATGTGTGCTTCTCCGCAGTTGAAAGGCAAATGCAGAGTATAATTCACGAGGGGCATGGCCCGCCCTCCACAGTCATGGAGGCCTTCAGCTGACGTGTTTCCTCCACAAGCAGCAGTGGCCATCTGTCAAAGCGATCTCCACCACTCCTCGGTACAAACCCCAGACAGCCAAAATCCCTTTCACAAAGGACAAGTTGCCTGATGGGGTAACCCCTACCAGCAGTAAACGACGCTTTCAGCCATGACAAAATCCCCATTACCATAAACATCTTTGTTTTAAGGCACTGTTCACCATTTCTAGCAACGCCCTTCATACTCAGGAATGGTGTACCCAAGCAAGGGAAGACATATTCCTCAGGACTGCACACTTCGGTCGGTCGCGCGGCTTACTCGTCGCCCTGATGATGGAGACAGCAAGGACCTCTGGAAAGATGGTAAACTTCTACAAGACTACACGGCGCAACAAGCCACAAGACTCATTGCCGTGAAAACCTGAAATCCTACTAAATCATGTTAATATTTAGGGCTCAAATTGAATAAGTCAGTATTTAAACCTGGAATAAAAATAATATTTTTATTAACTTCTCCTCATTAACCTTTATTATACAAGAAGAGGAAATTGAAACCCCCAAATTACTGGGCTACCAGCGGGGTCAACAGGTTAGCAGAATGGCTGGTTAGGTGGATCATGCATAAGCCATGATCTCGAGCGATAAAGGTTTGTGTAGGTGTGAAAGAACGGTCATCGCTCAACGTACAATTACAGTCTTTCATTATTTCTCCCATTATAATAAAAAATTACAGAAAAATAAAATGTCTGAAGATTATGGTCCTTGCACTAGATGACGGTAAGTGACAAGACAACACCAAAACTTCAGCTCGACACCATATCAGTGTCGCAGAATGGTGTTTTCAAGACACAAAGTAAACAAGGGGGACCACGTTCTTCTTTCTTCCCTTGACAAGAAATGAGACTGCGTTCGTTTTCCCGGCGACCTCGGTTAAATGGCGGCATTATTACAGTTTTGATTTCAGAATCCCCATTAGTTTCTCCAACTTCATGGCCTTTTGCAGGTTGCCACTGATTTTCAGCTTCCCCGTCATGAATGCTCCTGCTGGCTTCAGTTTTCCTGTGTCAAACAAAACAAACTTGAATTCAAAAACTTAA